AGTATTTTTAAAAAGGTTTCTAAGGCCGCCAATCACCCCTGTCGCTTTTTATTCCGCTTGTAAAGGCCTGCAGCTACAATTTACGGACTAGGTCTGGCACCAGAACAAGCATCAAAAGAAAACGTTTTAAAAATACATTCGTTGGTCGTTTAACTTTTAGACATAACCTATATGACAATTTCTAACTGTAATCAGGTGGTAAATTTAATTTTGTGGAATTATTAACCTTTTAACTCATTTACCTCAAATTGCTTGTAACACTAGGATTGTATTTTTCTGTTTTGAATCAATAGAGACCATTATTATTATTATTATTATTATTACTATTATTATTATTAACCACCTCTATTTTCAGTAACATCCAAAATATTGAGTACTAAATCGTCGAATGTAACTCGGAGTCCGGCAATCCATCCCCCCACCCCCTCCCCACCAGCCTTTCTCAGATTATAATTACAATTTTGGGTGTGGTGGGAGAGGCAGCTTAAGGCACGTGTTTGATGCGCTTGTAAATCTGGTCAACATAACTGATGTACCTAGGGTTCTTAACAAAAGTCGGTCCGAGGTAAGACCGATGTGTCAGCTTGAGGCGTCTGTATTCGTAGCACTTCATTGTGAAATCGCCTTTGAAGATGGGGCCTTTTCGTCGCATTTTTTTCATCCATCTCCCACTTCCGCCGTTTGGCCTCGTCACGTGACGATCACATTTGACTTCGGCTGAGACTAAAGTAACCGTCGGAAGTTGCTTTGTAGACGCAGCTGCTTTGCGAACCCTCTTTTGTGGAAGGAAAGCACGAAATTTATGAAAACCTTGTTCGTAATTAAACTGCTGAATAACAAATTGGGCGTAATTAGCCATACATCTACAATTGCTTTAAGGTGTGATAACTTGAAAAAGTTGTAATGAATCGTCTTTGTCTGTCAGGATAATTCTCCAGGGGACTTGGACTGCGTTGGCCTCCGTGGTGCAAAAAAATGGAGAAACTTGAACTTGTACGTTGAAGCAAGACAATTAATTGGTATGCAATGGTAATGACGCATCACGCACGTGATATATGCGTGTTGTGTAACGACGTTAGATTTAGATTATTTTTCTAGTGGTGAGTTCGTCTTCGCCGTGGCAAGTGACATTTCAAAGAACGGCTGTGAAGTAGACGAGGCAGGACTGAAAGGTGGGTTGAAATTGGAAGGCCGAGTTAAACTTACCTTTGGGAAATTATTGCATGGACTATTCGTTACACAGTTGACTTTCAAGCGGTGAAGGTGAATTTTGGGAGTGCAGAGGGGTGTTTTACCTTTTTCATTCTCGAGATCTCAAGAGCAATTTTTCCTACCGTCTCAGATATTTCTTATCATTAGAATTTGGTGTTGAATCAAATGTTGCAAATTTTTTTATGTTTCGCTTCCGTTTCCTTTCGGTTGAATTGTACGTGGTCTTTTTTTTTTTTTTTAATCAGCCTCGTTCCCATGGTCCTATGTCTTGATTAAAGAAGGGAACGAGGCTCGCCGAGCGCGCTAAGTACTGCGAAGGAGTGTTCGGCTTCAGCGTTGCATCAGTGAAGGTATTTTCGTTGTCTTTGGTTCAAATTTATCTTAAATGCAGCATTTGATCGTCTTCCATTGCAATGTAAATGAATATTTGTGTGATTTTATAGCTTATCAAGGGTATCTACTCCATCCATGTCCAGTAGTGCGTAGAAATCTGAGAAATTCGTTAAGAAACCGATCCAGATCGGCTTGAGCAAGGGGAAGGTTCAAGCTCATGATTCTATATTTTTAATCGATGCTGGTGTCAATGCATACCGTGACTCAAGAATATATAGTGAAATTACGACAGAAGCATTTGTTTCTCAGTCAAAACTCGTTTGCAGTCGATCCCTTTTGTCAATATCCTTTTCACTGCAAAGCGATGATCGCTTGAACTAATTGCGTTTGTCTTTATTCCGCACAGCAGGTGGTAGGGTTTTTGGCCCCGAAATGATTTTTTTTTTTTAAAAAGCCTTGAACTTTTATGTTGTCATTGCATTACATAGCTTTAATTATAAGCCTGCTAAAATAAGCTATAATATTATGGCTGGAGATCTTAGCAAGCTCTACTGAGCTTTTATAAGAAGATCCCCCCATCTAATAAAACTGTAACTTATAGCAGATGGTTTAATTATGAACGTAAGATATTTTGCTACTTTGCTGATAAAATTACGATTTGAAGTTATATCTCTTGCATAGAATTTAACTATGATTTTGCAGATAGGTTCTCATTAATCTCTTAAACTGTGTATATGATTTTGATTCTTTCAGGTCTTTAGATAATTCATTCCACATTTTTGCTCCCCTAAACTTCAATAAAAATTTCTCATAATTAGTTCTTTTTAAATCGATGATTATGTTTGAGGTTGATCGAGTATTGTGACTATGAAATTTTTCACTTGATATTAAATAATTTCTAAAGTAACTTGGAGGCTTGTCATTAAAGAATGAGTACATAAAAAGTGCCATTAAGTATTTATTTAACTCAATAAATATTAAGAATATTTAATGATAAAAATGGTGGCCGGGATTCATCTTTGTAGTGAGCGAATGACATGATTCTAACTATCTTTTTTTGTATCATAAGTAATGGCTTGAGTCTAGTTGGATAAGTACTTGTCCAGCTGACATTACAATATGTTAAATAAGGGTACACCATGGTGTAATAGATTGCCTGTAGTGTTTCTAAGGGTAAGTAATGTCTTGCCTTAGCTATTATACCTGTCATTTTTGATATTTTTGTTACAGCATGATTGACGTGGTGCTTCCATGTTAGCTCGTCATCAATGTGTAGACTAAAGAATTGTGTATTTTTTACTTGTTCAATTTCTTGATCATTCAATTTAATTTTAACACTTAGTTTACTTTTCTTGCCCTTGGAACAATAAACAATAAAATGCATTTTCTTGATATTTAAAGTGAGTTTATTTGCAGAAAGCCAGGTTGAAATTTTTTCTAGCTCACAGTTCATGGTATCTTGTAAATAAACTAGATTTTTATGACTGAGAAATAGATTTGTATCATCTGCAAATAAAATAACCGGTAGTATTTCTGAGCACCTTACAATACCATTTATGTATATAAGGAAAGAAGAGGCGCCAAAACAGATCCCTGAGGCACACCACACTTAATTGTTAAACTTTCTGATTTCAGTTACTTGAATTTAACCATCTGTTTTCTGTTTGAGAAGTAATTTTTGAACCACTCTAGGGTAATTCCTCTTATTCCATAATGCTCTAGTTTCTCAAGTAATATTTTATGGTTTACTGTATCGAATGCCTTTGCAAGATCTAAAAATACTCCAATTGTGTATTCATTGTTGTCTGTTGCTTGTAATATCTTGGTTGTAAGCTCTATAGTGGCTAAGTTTTTTAATGTTTTTTTCGAAAGCCATATTGGGTCTGGACTAATGTGTTGTGATTTTCTAAATATTTCAATAATCTTTATACATAACTTTCTCTATAATTTTACTAAAACAAGGAAGGACAGGGATTGGTCTATAGTTTGAAATTTCTTCCTTATTATTTGCCTTATACACTGGAGTGATAAGTGCTATTTTAAGGTCATCTGGGATAACTTCAGTTTGTAGTGACTGGTTATAAATATATGTTAATGGCTTGGTGATAAAAATTATATTTAGAGATTTCCTTAGTGAGTTTGGGTGAGATTTCATTGTGTCCACAAGACTTATTACCATTTAAAGCAACTATTTCAAGTTCTACTTCTTTTTCAGTAACTGCATCTTAAAAGTGGAATTTTCTGACCTCTCTCCTAAGAATGTTTTGAAGTTTACATCGTTATCCTTAATTTTATTAGCTAAATTCGGTCCAACAGTAACAAAGTATTCATTAAATGTATTACTTATTTGAACTTTGTTAGTAATAAGTGATTCATTTTCTTTCATGTTATCTGGTAATTACATTTTGAAATTATTTTTATTCAATACTTTTATTAGTTTCCATGAATATTTAAGGTTACCCTTATGCTCAATAAACTCTGTTATAAATGATATCTCTTAGCTGCCTGCTTCATCGTATTAAATTTATTTCTGAATCTTTTATATTCAAGTTCATTTCTTTGATTTGGATTTTTAATTAACTTCTTAATATATAAATTATTTTTTGTTTTTCTTGCTTTAAGGATACCCTTTGTTATCCATGGTGTTTTCTGGTTATGAAACTTTCTATTGTTTTTGGATTCCTTTAAAGGTATATTTCTGTCATAGATTTTAGACAGTTTATCATAGAAACAACTATAAGCATCTTGTGGGTTTGTTTTATCATAAGCACCATTCCAGTCTGCAATTTTTAAGTCATTACACAAGCGTTCAACTGTTAACTTGTTCAAAAGTCTATATCTGGTGTTATGGTGTGAATGATGTATTCTTTCTAAAGATGTTATTTGGAACTCTGGTAAATGATCAGAGAGGTCTGAAAATAGAATGCCGCATTTATGGCACTCATCAAGATTATTTACGAATATGTTATCAATCAGAGTTGCACTTGAATTAGTTATTCTTGTTGGTTTTGATATTAATGGGTAAAACATTGATGAGATCATTTGATTTATAAAATTCTTCATGTGCTGATTTTCATTGATTTTCAACAAATCAAGATTAAAATCACCCATCAGATAGCACTGCTTGTTTTGTAGATCCAGTTTTTGAAGTAGCTCAGAAATACAATCATTGAATAAATCGAGTTTGTTGTTTGGAGGTCTGTATAGAATTCCTACTAAGATATTTTTGGATTCAGTTGTCATTTCTATATACTGTGATTTTATTAGATCATCAATGTTGACAACTAGATCAGTTTGATCTCTGAATTGATATGACTGGTTTGTATATAGTCCAGCTCCACCTCCTAGCTGGTTAGACCTCACTTTTCCCACATTGGAGTAGTTTGGCAATGGAAAATCATTCATATTGCTTTGACTCGGCCAGGTTTCCGAGAGCCCAGTTACTAAGAATTCATATTCTAAGGAATTAGGGTAGCACTAAGATCCTCAAACTTATTTTGTAAGCTATGGATATTCAAATGTAAAATAGAAAATCCAGTTTCTTTAAAATTCTTTGTAGTAAGCTTAGAGCTATCTTCATCATGGTACTCACATGCTTCAACATGAGTTAAAATTCGATTATAATAATTCTGGTCAGGGTCTATATCAAAACTGAGTGTAAAGTATGCCTTCCCGTTTCTGTTTTGGGAGAATGGAGTAAAGGTAAGATTTTTTAACTTTTCCATTTCATCATTAGTCAAATGGTTCTTTTTACAAATTTCACGAAGTTCATCATTATAAGTTGGTCAAATGGTAGTGGTTGATTTTGTTTGGGCCTATTTGTAATCATTTAGACAACTGTTATATCTATCAAAGACACCAGACATGCAAATTGAATAACTTACCAAATGTCATTATTGAATGATCACCAAGTCACTCCAGCTTCATATCTCTTTCATGTGTGGACTGCCATGTTGTTTGAATTTAATTTTCCTCTTCGAGAACTAGGCCATTTCCACTGAACCTCTGCTTTTCAATTCCTTAAGCCTTTTGGCAATTTGATCAGCCATGTCTTCGACAATTACCAACCCTTTGCCCTTCAACATTCTTTGTTTCAGGAGGATTTTCATTTTGGTTTTGTGTGACTGTAATTTTACAATGACTGGTCTTGGTTTGTCATGCCATGAATTTTCCCTACCTCCATTTTTCTTTCTTGCTCCAACTCTGTAGATAATCTCAACTTCTTCAGCAGAGACCGTCTCTTCAAGATGTTCCTCGACGAACTTAAAAATAAACTTTCCTTCTAAATTCTCTTCCTCCCCCTCTTCGATGCCAAATACTCGCAGATTATTTTTCCGTGAGTACTGTTCATTTTTAATAGCATATTCCCAGGTGGAATCTATGTCTTGTTTTAAGACACCCTCTACATGATTTATGCTTTCATCTACAACCCTTAAGCTTTTTTACCTCATTCTCTACGTGTTTGAACTTGATCTTGCTACTCGCCATTGCCTCAATTCGTTTTGCCGTGTGGTCTAGTTTTAAGTCAAGGGTTTTGTTAATCGCTTCTATTATTTCTGATTTTAGGCCCAAAAATGTCATGTTCAGCTTCTTGTCAACATTGCTTTCTTGCCAGACTAGATGTATTTTTACCAGGGGTCAATAGTAACTCATTAAACGGTTGTTTTGGTTGAGTGCCTTTAGCAGCAGCTTTTGTCTCCGCGGCCATCTTTTTTTTTTTTCTTTTTCATGATCATTGAAGTTGTGCTGAATTTTCCCACTGAACTAAGCTTCAAGTTTTTGACAACATTGGACTAAACTTCAAGTTTTTGACAACATTTTCAGGATTTGTCCCTGAAATAAGTTTGATCGGAAAGTGAATAATGTTGAACACGAGGCTGTCAAATGAATTTGTTCAATTTCTTCTTTGGCATTCGGCAAGGAAATAGCTGTAATTGTTCTCTAATAATAATCCTTCGCTATGGCCTTGATCCACAATTCTGCAAAGCGCTTTGCATGTATTGGTTTTAACTTGCAGCAATTTTGATCTTTCACAGAAATAAAAGTTTTAGCAGTTGGCATGATATAAGGAGGAAATGGACATAGTGGGACACGTTTACCATAAGGTTAGTAAAAAGTACACTTTTTGGCAAGATTTCCGTATAACATACTTCATTATGTGTACAATTCTTGGATAAAAGAAAACAGAGGCAAAGCAACAGATTACCTTTGGGATTATGGCATTTTTTTTAATGATCTGGGGTTATACAGAAATCTTTCCCACTTTTTCTTTGACGGGCTATGGAAACACATCTCTCTATACAAACATATGACAAGGTCTACTGAAGGTGATGCACTGACCAGTTGCACATGAACAACATTATTGTGAGCTCTTCTCTTTGAAAAAAGGCGCCTGATAGTTTTGAAAGAAACTGTTTGGGGCTGAGTCGGTGGGAGTAACAAAATAATTTGGATATATCAACAAAGTTGAAATGGTAAATTGGCCACCATAATGATTACAAAAGCTGACGTTTTGAGCATTAGCCCTTCATCGGAGCTCCAATGAAGGGCTAACGCTCGAAACATCAGCTTTTGTAATCGTTACGGTGGCCAATTTACCATTCAACTTTGTTGATATATTCAAATTATTTCTTCTCTTTGAAAGTTAACCAAACACATCCCATCTAAAGATTTACCTCACCCTTTTAAAATGGTCTTGATATTTTAGGTTTATTAATAGTGCTAATAAAAATGATTTTCAAATGACTTTGCAAATAGGATGCCTGATATCAGTGGGTGGGAGCTGCCCTAGTGCATGAGATGTCTGCAGAAGGAAACAATTTTGAAAGTTTCAAAGAATATGGAGATGAAAACTTTAAAGAAGACTTCTTGTTCAGGGAAATTATTATTCTGAAGGTATGTCTATCATGAAGTTTTTAATTCTGCAAAAAATGTGCTTGATCTACTTAAGTCGTGTTTTTTGAAGTGTGTGAAACATTCTTTGTGACTATCACTGTATTTTGGTTGTTTGATTTAGACAAATAGCAAATAGGCTTTCCAAATATGGGGTTTGCTTGTGCATTACAGAGCACAGCTGTTGTACACAAGACAAGAAAGACTGTGTCCTTGACACAGAGAAAACAGTTACATATGGATCAATAAGTGTGAGTGTAAAATCAGTATTCAGTGGTTAGTTAAATAGGTACATGTACATTTCTAAGCAAATTTGAAAGCTATCTTTTGCCCAAGAAGTGTATTCAGAGCCTTTTGCCAGGTTAACTCAACAAATAACCCAAAATCCCTAGCTGTTCATTAGCAGTTGTGAAGGCTAAAACATTCCCAAAGCACCTAGAAAAATCCCAAAGTTACCCAAGTTCTTATCCATCATAATTGATGGAATGAACCAAAGTAAGACACATTTTTCACACTGGATCTGTTGCTAAAAGTTTAGAAAATTATCTTAAACTATGCAGTCTTCTAATTGAAATTTAGTCTGGAAGAAGTAGAACTGATTTTTTTTTTGTTTCTGTTTTAGCTGGCTTTCCCATGGAAATATGTTGGTGTTCTGCTTTCTGGATTCTCCATTGGCCTGGTGCAGAAGGCAGATCCATTGATCAATCCATTAATATCATAATTCTGACAGATCATTTCTCAGGTGAAATATTGTTGACCTTTATTTTGTACTGTTTTAAGAAGGCCTTTATGGCTATTTACAAAAGCCCTAATATCCATCTGAACTGTTTTCTTTTCTGTGAAGTGAGAGATGCTACCTCCATTGTTATAAAATTATCTGCTTTTGAACAATTGCCACGCCTACTGCAAGAACTTCAATATTGTTGGATTTTGCACCCTTTTGGTGAAAGCAAGTGTCTATCTATAAAAAGGCAATGAATTTATTTTGATATGCAATCATTCTCTTGCTTTTTGGCACAAATTTTGTTATGGATTAGAGAAATCTGACAAGCTCGCAAATTTGACCATAGCTTGTCTCTTGATCTCTTTTACTTTTCCTTTTTTGTAGGTTTAATTATCTTTCATGTAGTTTGTCACACTCATGAAGACATCAAACAGGTTTGCCAAGAACTTTTTGTTATTTCCCATTTTTGCTGATTGGGAATTGAAAACTTCCCTTTACAGGGCATTGACAGCAAGTCATGTCACTGGTCTACTGCCCCAGAAATTAAATAAATATGTATCCCTATTTTCATAAAAGTAGAGGAATAAAAAGATTTCCTTTCATCTTAACACAGTCACCTCTGGAATAATTTACTTAAAATAGATAGTTCCCTATTAATAGTGGACGATTACTGCTGTTAACTCCCTGAGTATCAGACCCTAATTCCCAGACAAGCCCTAGTCAAAATAATAGACAAAATAATAAAAGATTTTAGTGTCTTTCCTATCTCTCATTGCAATCAAACTTTACAGAATTAGAATTACCAACTATACCCTTAAGATTACTTGCTTCAGTTATTGTAAATAAAGCCCAAAGTTTCCTTGAAAAAAATTATAAATTTGAAAATGAGTTCCTTGTGCTGTCCTATTGACACTTGTGCACAAGGCCGTGAGGTCTTTTTATAATTATTTACAATGAAATTACTCACATATTTTCACTTGTTTGTATCAGAAATTCACATTAACTAGTAAACCTTGCAATTCATCAAGAAAAAATTACTGAATAAATCTGGGATAACTCATGAAAATTTTTCCAACACGACTCAAATTTGAATTTGCATGCCATTTGCTGACATCAAGATACCCTGCAATATGCTGGGCAAAAAATAACTCCTTAATATACTATCTAGGAGCAAGGAATGGATTCTAAATTGTATTTTGACTCTCAAGTTTCGTGTAAATCAATTCTCTAAACATTTTGTGTATTTCAGCTTCCATGAGCAGTGAAATTATATTTTTTGGACTTGTTATAATCACACAAAATGGTTTATCAGTGAAGGTGCTAAAATGCATGAAACTTTTGTTTGCTAAAAATCGAGTATTCTAGGGGATGAATTTGCATGAAATTACAAATAACACGAAAGGACATAGTTCACTTTTGGTGACAATTAGACTCTAACCTTGCCGTTCAAGAAAACAAGCTCTATCACCACACATTTTGCATGGCGATAGAGGGAACAGCACTGTTTGCAAACAAAGGTAGTTTCAAAGGTATGGCTGTCATAGCACTTTCTTTTAGCCTTTGCACACATTGCACAAAGATTGAAAAAACCTTTCACTGTAGCATTTTCTCGTAGATCTTTGGTCGGGTTGCAGGGAATAGAAAATGGCTCAATATCAATATCTGTTAAAACTAACGACCACTGAAGGACATTTGCCTTGTCATCTAAACTTTCATGGCCGGTAGTTTCATTTTCATCCTCTTCCTCATAGACAAAAAGCTTCAGATCAGAATTGTTTTCTATTTCTGGAGTGGCAAGGACTTTTGTTTGCATTACTCACAGCAGATACCTGCCCTCACCCTCTTTCAGAAATTTTGAATTCACTGTTGTCTATTTCTTTTTTGCTGACTTGAATAAAGCAGAAAATTCTCAATTTAGAAATGACGTTTCGTGTATTCTTCCATGTCATTGGTTTCTTGAGGAACCTAGTTTCTGTAGAGTAAGGTTCAGATTGCAAACCAAATCTGATTGGTTGACACGGTAACTTATTTCCCAATGATCTCTTTAAAAGTGTGTATAAGATTTGAATGTTTCATTTAGGAACTGAGATACCTAAACCATCAGACAAATTTTAAAATGTTCACTATTTTACATTGGAGTAAACTTGTCCTGTTTATCTCTTGAAAGCTACAAGGGAATGTTTTCATAAAAACTTTATCATCACTCCCTAAAATGGTTTTTCAGGCACAAAAATTCATAATTAGGTACCTGGGTATGTAATTAAATAAGTGTGGGTATGACATTGAATAGGTATTTTACATTTGGTACATTTTTAAATGGAGATATGTTGCTAGCCTAAGAGAGAAAAAAAATCAAACTAAGAAAAAGTGATTATTATTAGAAATAAAAAGAGTAATTGAAAAATAAAATGAAAAATAGTACAAGATTAAATGTTGACAAAAAGTAGTAGGTCGTTATTTGTTGAAATAAAATTACATATCCTGTGTCACAATACAATTACATACAGTCGTACATCCTTCATTGACTTTCCCCAAATGGGCTTTTCAGAGACAATTACTACTACAATTAAAATAAATAACTATTACTTACTACAAGTTGTCACTATTAAATGAGAATAAATATTAATAACTACTAACTCATGACAAATTAATTGAAAGGGGAATCATTAAGAGCCTATAAAATCTTCAAGAAGTTCACATTTAAGGCCATACTTAAAAACAGGCATTGGATCAATAGTTTGAAGAGAACTACACAGCGAGTTCCATATATTGATTATTCTGTAGTAAAAGGTCCTGTTCACTAGCTGACTTGAAAAGTGGAATGTTCAGCTTTTGTTAATTCCCAGTGGTACACCTGCTATGATAGCTGTTTCTAAATATAGCTGGACTGCTACTAGCAACCAGTTAAGCTCTGTTAAGAGTGGCAAAATATGATTGTATTTACAATTCTTAAAATATATCCTTTACATAGCTGAAAAATAAGCCAGCAATTGGCTGGCAAATGACTTACTATGTAGTAAATGATAATTAATTAAGTAAATACATAGTTACATACTTTATTCAAATATTCCTCTGAGGGCTCTTCAGTATGAAATTACAAATTTTGTTTAAAAACCACCATAGACAATTTAAACTATTTACAAATCTATAAATACAAATACAACTCTTAGAAAAGACAACATATCAGATACTACTGTAATATCAGTATATGTGCACGATCCTTCACAGTAAAGCACTATTTGAGCAATAGTGAAAATCAGACCTGAAAAAAATTTCAGGCCTGTACGGGATTCGAACCACTGACCTCTGCGATACTAGTGCAGCGCTCTACCATTTGAGCTAACAAGCCAACTGGGAGCAGGCCATCAAATTAATTCGACATAAACCCATAGAGTTCCACGGTGCCTATAGCTCTTTGGTGAGGTCCAGCGACCAGAATGTTAGCCTATTTTCCAAAACTAGAGAAGAATCTAATTTCGGTACTACATGTAGTGTACATATAGTTAAAACGTGTTGAAGAGAAGGCCTGGAGTTTATTTTTTTAAGTTTTATTACACTCGCAGTTCCCAACTCCACTGGTAAGGAGTTCCATGGTGCCTATAGCTCTTTGGTGAGGTCCAGCGACCAGAATGTTAGCCTATTTTCCAAAAAAAAAAGAACTTAAAACACTCAATTTTGAGAATTGGGTGAGTGCACTATCTTAAGCTGAGGTTGTAAGAACAGTTCTTCGTAGTAGAGATGTGCTCACTTTTCAAAGCACAGAAGTACATGTAAATAACAAAGCAACTGAACATACATATAGAAGGTGGCATCTCGACTTTGGTTTGAGTTTTCTTCACTGAAAGACTGGTAACCTTTTTTGGAACTTTTGGTTGCATTAGCTTTGTAGCTGTGGGTATCAAGGTTGCAGTGTAGTGAGACATAAACCTCTTTGCTGGGCTTATTCCCAGTGACTGGTGTGTTTCTGTGATCTTATAATGCTAAATAAGGATCTTTGTTTTCCTAAAAAGCTCTCTTAATTATTTTTGTGATGCAGCTTTGCAAATTTGAGGACTGCATTTGTTTGGTTCCGGAACAGTAACAACAAGAGAAACAACAATAATATTTTTTAAGCACACTACACCAAAGAGCATAAGGCTTGTTAGAGCATGTGCTTGAAAATAATTACTTAAACATGAATAACAAGAGTAGGATAAAACAGCATAAAAAATGCCTTAAATCGTATCTAGAGCTCGTGCACATCCAACACAACAGTACTAGTGAGGGCCATAGTATTCACATTCTGTTGTAGCGATACTTTCTTGACAGCTTACAATTTACATTGTCTGGGAGATACTGTTCTTCAATGTACGAACTCAGCAACTTTTCTCGTACCTTTTCCCAGTTATCAGAGATAATCAAAACGCGATTTTGCTGTTGAGTTGTGAGTTGCTGCTTGTCGAGATCGTCAAGAGGGACATCTTGTCCTACTGGATTGTCGATGTCTTTGCTATTTTCCTCCATACTCTTTTGAGGCTGCCTCCAAAGATACACTTGGAGGCAGATACGGTGGTTTTGTTCCTATCGTGCCCATGAATGTTTAAGTCTTGAAATGATGAGCATATTACCTCTGTTGTTTAAACCTCTTCCGCAAGTTGTAACATATGCAACTTTTCGTCTGCTGACTATAGTTGATTGAATAAGGTAGCATGCATAGCTGTTTTCATGGCAGAAAGATTACCAGAGTTGCCTCTGATGGCATTATCATTGATAGTAGCTCTGTGATTTGTCAGAGATGTTTGCTATAAGTTCTCCTCTCACCCATACCGTTCTCCACCTTTAGTTTAAGGGAGGCTGCGTAGTCTCTTTAGTGTAGGTTCAACTGTCTTTCTTTAACTTTTAAGTGTTATAAGTTGCATACTGTTCTTCTACCAAATGAAGACTTTTGCTGGTTCCATTCCTATGAAAAAGTCCTCTCAGCCACATAATGTTCAATCTGCAAACCGGACTCGTCAGTGAAAATGACATCTTAAAAGGTTCAACTCCAACACATGTATCCTCTGGAGTGGAAAAGTTGATAGCAGCGTAGCTTTGCAAATAATGGCTCGAGACTCTGACCAACTTTCATTTTGAAATTTGTGGTAGCTCTTTCTTTTAGAAGTTACCCTCGGAAATTCTTCAGTTTGTACATCATCTTTGAGCAGTGCGTCTGTTGAATTGTACTCAGTCATTCCTTGGTAAAAGTTGCTGCAATCGTGGCTAGAACTGTTGAGAAAGCCATCTCGAGACAGAAGTTCCAAGTGAGAGCCCATAATTATTTTGTCTGTCTCTCTTTGTCAGCTGGCATTTGAAGACTCCATTTTCCAAGACACGGGTTTAAAGCCAGGATGCTCTGTTATGCATCAGTCTGTCATATCATGTTGAATGTCTCGGTGAAAGAGATCACTGTTTAAGGCCTCTTTGCTGCTGTCTAACTCTTAAAAAAGGTAGCATACACGGGTTCTGTACAAGCTGTCGATTACAGTTTCAACAGGAACACTTATGGCAAGGAAAGATAGCATAAAAATTTAAGTAGACTCGCTGTACATTCAAAGTCAGATGATTTTATAGCAAGAATCCACTTGTGGTGTGCTATGAATCTTTTCTCCAATATGTATCACGTTTTTCGTTCTCCTTTAACTCCTTCTCATCTTGTTTCAACCCTGACTCCTCATTAGCCGTAGTTCATTAACAAATCTCTTGCTTTAAATACTATGTATAACGTATTGCTTTAAATTTAATCATGCTGAGTGAAGTCTTGGCTTTCTTTCTTTAAAATCAAATCAAGTAACTGCTCTTCTGCGTTGTTCAGTTCAGGGTAAAATAGCACAAGTTGTACGAAAAGTCGGTGTACTTCTTGAGCATCTCCATCAGCTTCACAAGGTCACTTCGGACGAGTTACAATCCACTCCTTATCCACGATTAATGTTTACTACTAAACAAAGAAACATGTACAAGCTCGGATCCATCTTCGGTTTACTTTAGTCTTTCTACTCGGGATTTAAAAAAGGATTTTATCCTGTTCTTAACCGTCCTCGCAGCAACGTTTCCAAATACAAAAAATACCCAATTTGCGATCGTCCCAACCAAGGTAGAAATCAATCAAGCCATCTAGTCTGTTTTGGAACACTGTCCACCCTCCACCGGCTGTTTTTTGGTCGCAAAAGACGTCAGCGGCACCGTTGTAAGGATCGATGGTGTAAATACCACTGATTCGTCTTCAGCACAGTTCCTACAGACTGAAATAAAAGATCTGTTTTCGCCGGTTCAAGTCTCCAAGGAACTGCATTCCATTGAACCCAATAGGCCTTTAAAATATTGGTAATCTCAGAAGCACCCTTTGTTTTTGAAGATTTTTTTCAAAATTCGCATGGCACAGAAACAAGATATAATTTGGTGCATTTCTTTGACACTCTCATTAAGTGCTGGAAGTCGATTCCCTTGCGACTGGTCGAGTCAGGATTCACCGAGCTGATTTTACCTTGTGAGATCGACTCGGTGCTTTCGGCCGAATATGTTCAAGAATAGTAGAAACTTGTTTGACATATGCCGACATCAGCGAATTTTTCAGACAAGCCGCTGCAGAAGCCACCATCCTTGGATGTCATGTGTATTTGCACAGTACAGAAACACTACTTACAATTTAACGGCTACTTACACAAAACTGCTCTAGATATAAACAGTATGAAATAATCTGTTCACCTCTTGTGCAGTGAATAGTTACAGCAGTTTATGTAAACAGAGCTCATTCATTTAAAGCTCTAATTAAAAAATGTATCTAGAAATAGATTTAAAATATACAACTTTTGTGTTAATGTAATAGATATTGATGTACTCTCGTAAAGCTTTCCTAAACAAATCCCGATTTGTTAAAAAGCTTTTGTAAGAAGTTTTCTGTAGTTGCTTATTCTAGGACACACAGCTGAAAACACGTATGGTTCTTATACTTGTGAGGAAAATTAACATTTTCTACGGACTTGGACGAACTTGCCGGGCAGTTTTGTTCTGCCGTGGTTTTCTTGGAAGGTTCGTATCTTTTGGAATATTTACATTCATGTCCGCATGCCCACACACAGCACTGATCTCCTTGGAAAACAGAGACGAAAATAGGTTTGCAAAATTACGTTAAAAAAATAATAAATTAATGCGAAGCTTTCGTTGACTCTGTATCTCGATGATCGATGACCAGGGAACATCATTACTTTTTCAGGTAACCTAATACTGCGTTGACCAATCAGAACTAATCTCTGGACCCCATTATCAGCAAAGTTACGTATTCCCATTCCTAAGATAACGTGTTTCGAGCTACTTTTAAGGTTTTGGGTTCGACGTATTGTTACTTGTGCTGATATCTCTACTGCGAGGATCGTGCATTATACGTATGCTGATATTCTTCTGATAGATAGTCGAAGTCTTTAGAAAAAATAGTTATTTTAATAACTTTAAGATCTCATCTTTGAGGTGTTGATATAGTTTTTAAGCTTTCATGGTGTCATGACGACAGTCAGACAAACACAAGTCAACGAAACTGAAAGTTTCTTATCACTTAATGTTTGGCTTTTCTCGTGAGGTTGGTTTCAGTATTTGGAAGCAATCCCTCAGTTCGTTTTCCAGGGACCCCAAGAGCCTCCCAGTAGTGAAGGATCAGCGGAAGGATCCCTTTGGGGGTACCAGACAGGGAGGGCTCTCTTTTGATGTTCTGCCATTCTCTGCAGTAACCTTTCGACAACAGGAAGGTTATCATGAGCAATGTTTCGGTATTCACAGGGATCTGTTGAAAGTAACATGGTAAAATGTTTTCATTGTCCAAATAACAAAAACAAAGACAAAACAAAAAGAAAAGAAAAGAAAGAAAAAATAGAAAACAAGAAAAAATCTATAATAACGAGGAAAGGAAGTACGTCAGGAACTCAAAGACAAAAAGGGTTGTCGTTTTACTGAGGATTAGTTGGGTTTCAAAGTGGCACAAGTTGTTTTTGTCAATGGAAGCTGGCACTCCTTTGGGAAACTCTTATAATGATGTGATAAAATCAAGATTGTGCAGTGTTAATCACGACCAAAAAGTCATGGAGTCTTAATATTTTGTCTCAATGAACTCTTTTATGTTACTGACGGGATTTCATTTGGGTTTCTTTGTGGTGGCGTGGGATCTTCCGGGAAAGAGGAATTTCTGTTCAACCATTCCAGATAGTTGCAAGAACGAGCCTAAAAAATGAGCAAGTGATTAAAACTTAACATACCTTTACTGATATCAAATAGGCATGGAAATAGGTTGGTATTGCAGTCCACCTTTTGGCTAGTGTTCTCAAGACCGCATTCAATGATGGCTCCAGGAAGCGTATGAGGCTGATTGCTGCGCCCCAGCTTTCCAGAGACTTCATATCGAGGATGCCATGTGGTATTGAAAACAGCATCCTGATTGACAACTAACTTGTATTGATTCACACGAATAGCTGCGAATTGACGGATGGGATCAATGTTATGGAGCACCTGTGAATTTAGAGCTATAAATCATTTAGGTGCACGTGAAGTTTGTGCAAAGTACAGGGGAAATCAGTAAATATTTTAAATGTTTACTTCCTGTTTCTGATTGTCTTAAACAACCGACAGCAAATCTTAGTTCTGTTGAAAGGAAGATGTGTTTTTGTTCCCCGTATTCTTTGCAAAAGGTTCTTTCGCTCTTATGATAGCAATAATCAAAGCTTCTACTTTTTTTTGCTTAGTTTTTTATTGACTACCTCCTTTCTTGGTGATTGAACGCCGTGTGCTATAGTGTCCCATACATTTATCCCGTCGATTTTATACTGGATCCTTTTGACGTCACCGCCAGCGAGGTAATATAAAGTTGGTAACCAATCAGAAGCGTCGATCAGGTCATAACTTACGCGACCTTTGTTTGAAATCAGAGTGCTGTGAACAAAGGCAACTCCACGTATTCCGCCCTCCCATAAAGTATCCTTGCCTCCTTTGAAGGGATAATTGCAGCCCTGACTCCTTCAGAAAGACGAGCAAGTTTTAGTTCAAGTTCAAGACAAGCTGTTTCACAAGACATCAAAGAAATGAAACGTGCTGCATTTAACGTTTACGAACCTGTCAAATCCTGCAGGTGCCCCTCCGTTGTCCGTTGTGAAAACGATAACGGAGTTTTCAAACATTCCCTTTGTTTTCAAAGCAGTGGATATCTTTCCGACGGACTCATCTAATGAAGCTACCATGGCAGCGTAAGTTCTTCTCTCGTCAGATTGAAAATCTGGAAATTTCTTTAAAAAACACGGAGGACGATGTAAGCTTCATGGTTTCATGAGCAAATGCGCAGGTAGAAAAGTTCTCTCTCTCTCCCTCTTTCACGTATTATATAAAGTTGTGATTTCCCAACTCTTTTCACCTTACTATTGTTTGATCAATCCATTCAAATGAAGATTGCTTGTCGTTCGGACTGATGCTGGAAATTCCCAGTGATCAGTCAACAGTGTAATGGATTTCCTTTAAAAATCCACTTCAGAATCATTCAAAACATCCTTGGTTTCAACTTTGTTTTGCTATGAACCCAAGTCCGTTTTGACGACCCGCGTTCTTTAATTTAATTATTTTTATACGACTCTCTCTTGTATATTTCAAACAAAATCTGTTTTTCAAGGTTAGCCTTGATATATTTTTATCTGGTGATTGCCATTAAATAGTAAAAAAGGGAAGGATGGGTCTCTCCGAACTCGATGTAGAGGTGTGGACGTTTGTAGCATATGATGAGGGTGTTTGTAACTGACTTTTGGGTTGCTGTGTTGTCGCCTATGTGAAAGAAAATACTGATGCTGTTAGTTGCTCAATGAGCAATAAGTTGGCATGTTTTGATGCCATTGTGAGGAAAAGAGGTTTTTAAGTATCAATTCTCTCAGTAGTGTGCTGCATCAAGAAAATATGGATAAGTAATGGCCCCAAATGAATTGACTTACATCGACCAATCTCTGCGGTGCCTGTAGTGGTTCCTCTATGTTGCCAGAATGTACTGCTTGATGTGCAATGTACAGGAAAAGTGGTTTTGACACATTGTGTTCATTAATTAGCTTCTCTGCAAGTGTAGTAAACAACTCTGTGTTATAATGACCAGACTCATTTTTTACCGGCTGAAAGAAATATGAAAATTTGTAATGTTGACACAATTGACAAAAACAGGAAAAAAAAGCTGAAGGATTTTGTATTCTTCCTTCGGCGATCTAAGTGTGGACTGCGGTACATCAACAACTTTGTTGATAGGAAATGTGTATTAATAGAAGCAAGTAACGGTTTATTGACAGCTTATACAACTGAGCCGGCTCTTAATCTCTGGTATAACCAATAAAACTAGCTTGTAACTAATGTAAATAACAACTTAGACCCATGGCTGTAATATTAAGTTTGAAAAAAATAGATAAAACAATGGTAATAATAAAAAACAATAAAAATGTAAGAATATTGGCTACTATACTATAAGAATGCAGTATTTAAAGGGAACTTTTTTACATTGGCAACTAAGAAATAATATAACTTACTGCTAGAACTATAATAATCTATACAAGGTTTGATTTCATTTGGTGCAGGGTTGAGAATGTTGGCTGCAGGTCTTCAAAGGTTCAATTCTCCACGGGCTTTCCAGTGAAAATTGGATACCTGGATTTTGTGATAAAAATCCGTTGACTTGTCCTAATTATTACGATGCTGCGTGATTTTAACTGTGCATTACCAAGTGAATATATGGATTGAAGTTTGGGATTACTTTTGAACTAAAAGTTCTGAGCCTCGAATTACTTACTTATCCGTCTTCACTGAGACACAAACTTCTTAGTGTCATCTTTTTTTTCCTTTTTGTCTTTGTTTTGAACTTGTATCTGAATACGTCAATGAGTTCATTATTCCAAGCCGTCTGACAAGGGATCCACTTCTCTTACCTTCAGGTTGTCCCTAAGGTCAAGTCCCCAGTAATCTTCATATGACTTGTGAGTCCAATAATCTGTCTTCCCAGTCCAGTATCCATAAAATGAATCAAATCCTCGAGACGTTGGAATGTACTCTTTCTCAAAGAACCCCAAGTGCCACTGAAACATTAATTCCAATGTGATGATATCGTTCTAACTTGTTATTAAGATACAAAAACCACTTATTGTTTCCAAACGATTAAATGAAGTGTCTCACAGATCGATATTTGTTTTAAACTAATAGTCCTTTTTACAGTTGTGGGCTTGGTGACCAAGCCTTTGAACAGGAGTGAGGCTTGTTATGATAGAGATGTTGCTTCTTTTCAAGTGCAAATTACTTTTTTATCATGCTAACTAGATACAGGTCAGTCTATCACAACAGGGGTCACCCTTAGCCTCACTCCTGTTCAAAGGCTAGGATGCCAAACCCACAACTATAAAAGGGACTTACAATTATTTGGCTTTTGATCAACTGTACCTGTAAAACCAGGCAACAAGTCTTTCTTTGCTAATCATTAGAAAGTGTTGGCGATGTGCACATTTTAGTTAAGATTATTAACTGATTCATAATAATCACTTTCGCTCGTGGTTTTTGCATGTTTGTTTGTGTGTATAAAAACGTCGAAGTCTTGAGAAGACGCTTTTAGTAAAGGGTGGTGGGTTGGTCTTAAATGTGTCATTTCTATTATTTGGTCGGCGAAATTTTTTTTACCGGGACAACTTGTCTGTGGAAACCAACCCCAAGCATTCCTTATAAACTACCTGTCAAGCTCTTCGAGGCATTTATTCTTCATCTCGGGTCTCACTAATTGTACGTGAGAGGAAATCACTTAGATTTTCTAGATGTTACTTTTTGTTGGTGGTTAAGGTGTGAATCTGCATGTGCTTAGTTATTTTAGTCTGGTCTATTGATTACCTTTCCTACGCCACGTGTGGTGTATCCCATTGTCTTCAGGTACTGTGGTGTTGTTGTTTCATTCAGGGGAAGACCAAATGGTTGAGTGCCGAATATTGTACCGTGCTGAAGACCTGTTCAAGTGAATCAGTAACACCGTAAAGTTTCAACGTCCTTAACAAAAGACGGAAAAAGAAGAGTGAATCATTTTTAATAATCACACTCGAAGATTGGCTTGTCTTGTTTAATTGGCATTTGGAGTGTGGTCGCAGGGTAGCTACTGTGTCTGGCATGATTGTAGAAGGACAATCAAGATGAAGATGTGGGGGAAAAAATCAGATTTTGACAATTGAGACAGTGCTCAGAGAACAGCGGCCATCTAGCCCGTAGATCATCCTGGGTTGTTATGGGAAAATGTTTTCTTACCCAGATTGACTGGGTATTTTCCTGTCATGAAAGAGGCCCGGGTAGGGGTGCAGATCGGTGAGACGTAATAACTGTTTAGAATTACGCCTGTGTTGGCTAATTCATCCATGTGAGGAGTAGGGATCTGGGAAGAACCATGGAAACCCACGTCATCCCAACCCTGGAGAAAAAATATAAAATGATTTGGTTAGCACCACACTCAATTTAATTTATAATATGTAAGTGATCTTGTGCAAAGTTTCTTTGATGCAATTGTTTCCAGTCAATCGATATCAGTCTTTCTTTGACACGCTCGATGTTCTTCAAATGTCTGCGGAAATTTATTCAAATTTCCAACCTGAAACTCTGCTTTGGTCTACTAAGTTAGCGAGGCATGCTTAATTATATCTTTACGAGAAAGATTGCTTGTGAGATTTCTTTGTCAAATGTCAACTGAATCTAAGATAACAAAAATTTAGCACAATTTCAGTTCTTTTTTCTGTTTCTGCTCTTTCCTCACTTACCATTTAGGCGATTTTTAATCTTCAAATGAACGCATACAAAATGAATATTTTAGACGTTGGAAATAGGACCAACGACTAAGTTCGTATATATCTTATTCAATACTTCTCTTTTGTTATCATTGTAACGGTTAAAGGCTGGAACATACTTAACGACTTGTCTTTACAACATCTCTTCTTGCAATTAATTGACGTATTCTTACCAAGTCATCTGCGACAATCATTACAATGTGAGGCCTAGAACTCCTTGCTGTGTTTCCTTTCAGGTGAATCCATAACAGAAAAAACTGGAAATTTCTGGAAGATAAACAAGATCTAAACGTCCAAGACTTAATTTACATTTGAACGCTTGGCTTTGTTTCTGTCGTTCTCTTTCTCTATCTCTCCTATTTTGGTGGGGGGTTGTACAACTCGCTTAGGCAAATCAACCAGAGGTATTAGGACTCAGAAGTTTTTTAAATTATCTTCCAAAAGAGTTGACTTCTACCACAGCGACGCTTCCTTTCTCTCTCTCTGCTCTAGCGAGAAGTACCAACGTATTAAGTTGGAAAACCGTAGACATGTTTGGGTTAGCTGACCGTGAGAGTTTCTATAATGTATCCGTTTATTTTGCAAAAAGGGGAAACTGGGTAGCCCTCACCGAAGTACTTGTCGAGCGCTAAGGAACCAATTGAACGCTAACAGCTGTGCACAGGAATCGCGCACGCAAACAGGAACTTCAGTGTGGCTAGAACTCGGGTCAGCTTTACCAACGCAAACACGACCACCCATGAAACTAATTGTTCTCAACCATAACAAGCGATTAAAATGTCTAACACGGTAATAAGGAAATAAGCGAACTGAGCCAAAAAAAATGGAAATATATAAATGTACCAGAACAACACGTAGGCGCAAAAGGCAAGGCTTAACAAAACAAAAGGCTTAACTGGAAAAGTCTCAAAATAACAACTTCCAATTCATCTCACAACGTTCCTTCCCGCCAAAATTGGGCATCGTCCTCGGTGCGGACGGGAAGAAAAGGCTATGTTTGGGATAGATACCAAGTGGACAATTAACTATTCTTCGGTCAAGTAGTGTACATACAAAATGATTTCAAGGGTCTTCAAAAATATCTGTCAATTGAAACCTAAGTTGGTCAATCGACCATCAATTGACTGTTTAAAATCATCCACACTAGAGGCTGACGTCAGATCTTCGAAAATCAAAACATTTGCAGAATCTTGTGAGGCGCGAGTAGTAAGGTTACGAGCCAGGAAAAGGTAACGGGAAGTTCCTAGAGCGAATGACACTTCGTAGAGTTGGTTTTCTGCGAACGAATTGCAGTAGTCACGCGGAAAAGTGACGCGAAAGACGTCACTCAAGAACCGTTCATGGACCATGAAATAATGACAAACTTGGATAAACTCGGGGACGTTATCTAACTCCCAGTCTAACGATCGACTGAAACCCGAAAATGACCCTAAAACGAAATTAGTGATCTGCCATGAGAAAGGGCGATTAATGCGAAAAACTGGTATTTCTCGCCCTGAGCAATGGGCGTCACATTTAAATGAGGCAAACAGACTGCTAACTGACGCAAATTGCGCAGCTGAGATGTCGTTCAGAATTGTAGAAAAATTAACAAAGGTTAGGGTTATTACCTAATTCATTATCGGAAATTCAGTTCAGTTCCTTTAATAGTTCGCCTTGGATAAGTTGTATTCCTTTTCCACTTTGGGGTCGTGTGCTGTACGAGCTTCCTCGGAGGCTGTTGTTTTCGGACGATTGGTTCTCTTGTGTTTCGAACAAGAGTGCAGATTTTATATTGGCGACTATCTGCAACGGCTGTTGGCACGGTAGGTGGACTGGCAGGCGTGGAATGTCGCACAGATATTCCGGAGATGCATCGGCAAAGAGTTCAGAACACAATGAAAATTGACCACTGATAGACCAAGTGCAACGAAAGAAATATACTCGATGTAAGTGGTTTGACTAGTCTCCTCTCTCTGATCGATCAAACCAGAGTTAACTCTGATCAAACTGTCTACCTTCTGCAAAGCGCCACTAAGCTGGCTATCATAAAATTGAAACAACTCGTCAAAGTTGTCAATCACTGTATGATTAATCTTAATAGGTGGTGGGATGGTCCGTGACATATGATGCAACTCCAGTGTGGGAAAATGATCTGAGTTTGGATCCCACAGGACATATGAAAGTGTGTTCGTTGAGAATAGAGGCAATGATACCATTAGCCTCTGGGGACAGGTGCCCAAGCTAGTCTCCATTCCAACGAAACTGACGTTGCAAGGGAAGTTATAGGTCGCCAACGGAGAAATGTTAATCTCCCCATTGTTCAAAGCTAGAGTTCCAGAGGTGGCAGAAAGAAGATATATGCCTCCAAGATGAACTAACGGGTGGATATGCTCGGACTTCGAAGTAGACTGATGGTTTCGTCGGAAAGAGAGTTTCAGGTCTGGATTCCAAGCAAAACCTAACCATTGCAAGCTAGAAACCGACTTCAAGCCGTTCTTCGGGCATAAGAAACCTACTTCGCTTCTAAAACACCTAGAACTAAAAAGTTCTCGGTGTTTTCCTAGTCTATTACTCTAAGGAGGGCGACTAGATGAATGTTTTGGCGAAGTTTGATAACTACCTTAAACAATAACATGTTTCGCTAATTTAATTCTCTCATCTACTGAAACATCGGCAGTCCTGGCTGTACTGAAAGCAAGTTTATCAGTATCGCATGATGCTCCCACTAAATTTTGGTCTACAACTTTTGAAACCTTTTGCATAGTTTTAGAGGCCCCCATCACGGGTTCATTTTCTAACGAAACAGGAGTGTTTTTCAGTTTCCCTGCTGCTTAGGTTGCTAATTAGAGGCATCTCGACCTCTATTCTGATAAAAATTTTGCCTACTACCTCCACGACAAAAATTTCCAGGACCAGGTTTTGAGTGACAAAAATAATAAGTATGTCCTTTTCGACCACAATTGTGGCAAACGGCATCGCCAAAGCGAGACCGGAAACTAATTGGTTGAAAAGACTGGTTTGGACGCTGATCATGACCACTAGGTCTACTATCAGTATTGCTTCCCATCAACTCTCGAAACTCGTCTCTAATAATTTGCTGCATCTCGGACTTGTTCACGTCAGGGTTTTGGCCTAGCGCTGGACCTACAGCACTAATCGACTTCTCCTTAGGATTAATTGCCTTTGAGAGCTCTTCTAGAATTTGACCCTGCCTATACCGATTCCTTTAACTCGGCGAAATTCTCTGGCGCTTCCAAATTTTCGGGTTGTTGTAAAACAACCTTATGGCGAATTTCCGGAATAAGACCTTGTACAAAATAGTGTGTCTACTCGGATATGGGCAAATTTCTTCTCGCACAATGTGTTCGAAGGCTATGGGAATAATCCGCAACTGATTCTTTCTCTAATTGCCGTCGTTGCCCTAGCGCCTGTCTCACACGCCATTCACTAGCTCCGGAGCCAAAATGCCTAATTAATTGCTCAGATAACTCTTAAAAAGACATCTCGTCAGCTGTGGGTAACGTTTTAAACCACGCGCTAGCGTGACCCTTCAAATAGAGGGAAAGCCCTAATGCTAGATTATCGTCGTCCCAACCATTTAGTCTACCGGCCCTCTTATAGTTTCTATTGAACTCATGAGCATCCTTGTGCTCATTGCCCCTAAAAACTGGAAACGTTACCGACGATTTTACACCGATACCTCTACCTTGTGAATTAACGGAAGTTTGCATTCGCTCAACTGCTTGACGTCACTGATTAACTTGATCTTCCATTTCCGTACAAGCTGGTGCACGAGACGACTGGTTTGGCTCTTAAGAACTACGTCGAATATCAAGAAACGAGTTATCAAGAGCTTTAACAGAATCTTCGCTTCCACTTACACGACCGGAAAGATTTTCTCTGTTCTCTATGTTTTTCATAAATAAGGTCTTCTTCAGAGTCAGAACTGTGGTTACCAGTACAAGAGGAAACTAGAGAGCATTCGCTAGTAGTATAAATCCCACTTAACGCCTGTGATCTAGTGTCGGCCTTCGGCGATCTACCAATTGCTCTTAAAAATGAACGGAGGAACGGTTCCCTAGGTTGCTGGACGGGTGGGGGAGGGGCCGGCCACTCATTCGAACCTGAATTCGACGCTAAATTTTCGTGGCGACCGGCCTCCCCGGCCAGGGTTTCGCGCTCGCTGTCTAGTAATAAGGATAAATACTGAAATAGTACGATATGAGCCAGATTTCCCAAAATTAAAAGCGGCACGATCAAAAACGGTACTAATGAAGGGGAAAACGTAAGTGACACAATCAAAAAAAAATTCAAGTTTGAAACTGACTTATAACTGCCATAATCAACTGACAAGCTAACCGACTTAAATACTAATATAAATCACGCTCTACGCTAACTCGATAATTATCGAAAGACAAATACTGAGATTTACAAAATTAAACAAGCTTGCAACGGAAAGGCATGCTACCACAAACAAAGTTTCACTCGCAATCGCGATGATGTCTTGACTGAGTTTCGGGAAACACTGTGGTGAATCGCTGAACAGAATTCGGGTCCTCCACCAAATTTTTTGGGGGTTGTACAACTCGCTTAGGCAAATCAACCAGAGGTACTAGGACTCTACACTTTTTTTAATTCTCTTCCAAGAGAGATGACTTCTACCTCAGCGACGCTTCCTTTCTCTCTCTCTTCTTAAGCGAGAAGTACCAACGTATTAAGTAGGAAAACCGTAGACATGTTTGGGTTAGCGGACTGCGAGATTTTCTATACTGTACGTGTTTATTTTGCAAAAAGGGGGAACTGGGTGGCCCTCACCGAAGTATTCGTCGAGCGCCAAGGAACCAATTGAACGCTAACAGCTGTGCACAGGAATAGCGCATGCAAACAGGAACTTCAGTGTGGGTAGAACTCGGGTCAGCTTTACCAACGCAAACACGACCACCAATGAAACTAATTATTCTCAACCATAACAAGCGATTAAAATGTCTAACACGGTAATAAGGAAATCCGCGAACTGGGCCAAAAAAAGAATATAATTCTACCAGAACAACACGTAGGCGGAAAAGGAAAGGCTTTAATTATTTTAATATTATGAATTGTAAAGCGCTTTGGTCAATTAGTGGAGTTAGCGCTGTATAACTTATGTTGAATTAAATTAAAATTAAATTAACAAAACAAAAGGGTTAACTGGAAAAGTTTCAAAATAACAACTTCCAATTCGCCTCGGAAGAATTTTATTATTTCTTAATTTTTACTTCTCATAAAACCTGACAGGTAAATAGATCAGGAGGACACCAGCTTTAGGGACAATTTGACCACAAGTCCCCTGCATCTTTGGAGAAGGAAAGAATAACAACACTATAGTCAAAATTTGTCATCTCAAATTCTTCCCTTACTACAGACAAAGCTTTCGGTATCACTGTTCCATGGAGTATTTTGAACGCTTGCCGCATATGAAGCTAATTGACGGCCAAGCTCACAAATGAATTATTTGGAATTTTCTTACAGCGTTCAACCACCAACTGGTAATTGGCAGGGAGTCCAAATAGCCTCGGAGGATTTAAGTTTTTTGTTCTGCGCAGTTGACAACTTTTCTACAAGTATGTCGCTCTCCTCTGAATTACCTCGATCTTTCTGTGAGGGCCTCGGCGGAAAAGCGAACGAATTTATTATCTAACGAAATTCATTTCTCAAATTCATGTATGGGTATGGCAAAATAAAAGGCAAAGAATTGGTTTTAATGATGTTTTTAAAGAAGATAAATAATTAGCAATATGTGAATTAAATAAGATAATAGGCTGCGTTTGCATTTTCGTAAAACTAACTTAGAATATCATTTGTTTTTCAAACGATTACACTCGAAAATAGTGATGCATAATTTTTTTCTTCTATTCCGTAAACTAGCCCGTGTATCCAACACTGAGAGTGGTTATGTCACCAGATGACGTTATTGTTTTGAGAAAAACCTCATAAAACACAACAATGAGAGTCGCTCGAGATGGCAGTGAGCTCTTCCTGTGGTATATTGAGAACAGCCTTGTACTCTTTTATAGAACTATATTTTGGATGGCAGCCTACGGAATTTGGAATGGTACCATGTGTTCTTTTTTTGGCGAATGTGCTGTTTTGGAGCCCCAGGTGAATAGTCAAAGTAAACAGGTTTAGAACCAAGAATCGTTTGATATCTTTGCAGGTCAGTTCAAAGCGATTTTTAGCCAAAGATCAGACGATTTTATCGCATTTGGATATCTTGAAGGAATTTTGTCTTGGTTGATTCTCTAACGGAGATTTTCTTAAAACGTGAGGAGGCTTACCTTGCGAAGACAAATACCTGAAACAGGGTCGACGACATGTCTCTTTCCGAAGGGTTTCTTTTGAATTTATCACTGATGTTATGGTTTCGTATTCGACATTCAGTAACCCAAGCTTAGATGCGAAGATTTACTTGACCTGGTCTAGCCTTCTTGACAGCGTCAACAGGTGGCAAAGAGATTTTCTGCCGTGGGCGGCACCCTACGTCACCCACATGCAAGGAATATTCAATCGGTAATCACTGTGGCAATGCTTGCGGCCAGCATACGATAAATAACGAGACAGGCATTCGCATTGATTTGCGCATTGAAGTGACCTTTCCTTTCAACACGTCGCAAATCCTAACTCTGATTAAATACACAATGCTTGATGCAAGCTCATGGTGGCTATATCAGGGAAACATCACGCTAGAAGCAAAGCTCGTCCAAAACGACTTTTGTGGTGTGCCACCAAAACCGCGGATACGCGCAAATTTATGGGAAAGGTATCTAGTACTCAGGCATGGAGGCAAGAACATGCACCGCAGTCTTGGTCGCTTTGATCATTCATCGAGGTCAAGATTTCGTGAAGGACAGGCACGTCTCCTCTTGATCAGCACAGCTATCATTATTTCTTATATCATAGTCATTAGTACTGTTATCACTATTAGTATTATTATGGTTAAAAAACATAGGAAACTTTATTAATGTATTATGTATCCATCCAGTTAAAAAAACTCGAAACGCAATCAAATAACGTTTCTTCCAGACTCTACAAGGTTAATGATGTGATCTTTTTTAAAATCTAACGATTAAACATCGTTTAAAAGCTATCCATAAACTTGGATTGCGTAACTTAGAAACTTGTCAAGCAAAAAGTCCAAAACAATCTCTCCAAACACTCTTGACAAAACGTTACACAAAAAGGGAGGAAGAACTAAATCAGATAAACTCGTGCAGCGTTAAGATCAAATCTAAAATCGTCCAAGAGTTCAATTGCGTTACAGAATGGCGTTCTAGAGCCACTGCCACTCATGGTGTACCACCGTCATTGTTCTTATCATCATAATCATTGTCAACATTCCATATCAAACTGGAAGCCCACAAAAGAGGACATTTGCTCACGGTGATCGTTACATGAAGTACACCGTCACTGCGCTTGCGCTATGTTCCAACACGGCGGACCGTCCGAAGCGAATGTCGCGTGTGCCGAGACGGTTTGAGGATGATTTCTATGAGGTTGTCCCCTCGAATGTTAGTAGAAGTGCAAAGCGACGAAAGATAGACAACAATTTGAATGAAATTAACATTGCAGACGTGAATAAAGAGCGAAAAAAGATAAAAATTCACTTCGTGGGTTTCAGCGAGGAATTTGATGGGTGGCGTTACTTAGACTGTGAGAGTGCGAGAGGGAGTACTTTCCTTTTGTTCGATTGGAAAAGATGTTTCTGCCCAATGGAGGATCTATGGAAGACAGGAAAAATATTTTTCACGGTCAGTTGTATCGTGCTACCAAGCGAAAGCTATGGTCTGGTCGGAGGGATGACCCTGAAGTACGAATTGAAATGAATGTCGATCCAGATGTATTTTCCACGGGACTTGGTCAAGTCACTCTGAGCACTTCACAACGAGGAAGAGATATTTACTGCGCAACTGACAATCGACTTTTAGATAGCGTTATGAATTCTAGCGGCGATTTTGCATATGTGGAGAAAAATACTGTCCCATTCTGGATGACAAAGAAAACCCCGATACAAGTATATTGGTGGCAAGGATGTCAAATGCGAGATTGAGGATGCGTATATGCTTGTCTTTACTTTTGTTCGAGGTGATGGGAATAGGAGGCAGTATATGGTAAGATGCTAACTGATTTATTATACATTATGGTGTCTTTACCAAAAAAAACCAAAACATTTGGTTTGCATACATTTGAATCATTCTTGATGGGTTACCTAATAGATCATAATATATTTATATATCATACTGATCATACTATATATATATCATACTACTTTATATATCATACTGATTATTGGAAATAACATTTTTTCTAAAGCATGATTGTAACTGGTCTCAGTTATTGATATGGATTGATATTGAAGAATTGTAGAACTATGAAAGTGAAACTGAAAGTGAACCATCTAATTATTTTGGCATGGCTAAGTACCAGATTTATTCAACACAAGATATCAGAAAAACTGGTTTGCTTCTAATTTTGGTTTCTGCTGGCTGTGTTTTTTTTGGAGGCACCGACTATCATAGCCATAACACTAACTCCAAGGAAATTGTTAGATCTATTAGATAAAACACAAACTGGGGTCTACTCAGACCTTTAATAGTGCATTGACAGACTGGAATTCCCTCCCAGAAGACATGAGATGTCTGCCCTATGATGCTTTGAAAATTTCATTGCTTAAATATTTTGAATCTTAATAGGTTCCATCAGTGTGTCATCTCTTGCACATCGATTTTATTATTTTCTGTGCATGTCATAATTTAGATATTTCATATCTCCACTGTGAGTTTTTTACTTATTACATGATTACTTATTTTATACATTGTTAACAATACGCTGTAAAGTTTTGAAAATCATTTTTTCCAAAAAACAAGCTCCGGCGAAAGAAGACTACGTAAAGAACTTACTTCCAGCGAAAAAAGCGATAGGTGCAAGTTACGTTTAAACTCAAAAATCGAGATGAAAGATAAAAATCGCTAAATATTTTCGCATGTGTGAAAATGGGCATGTGGATCATATTTCAAAAGGGAATATGTGAATTTGCTCTTGAGTGAAGAGATCTCAAGTTCCATGGAATCTATCAATTGGAAGCAAGACAAAAATGGCCAAGAAATATTTCGGGATGTCAGATTTATTCAAAACAATTTTTTATTTGCTGTTATAAACGAAAAACATACAAATTTCTTATGTGTACAAAGCCCACGCGGTAAAATTCATCATGCTTAGATCATTGTTTACTTGCCTTCAAGGCCAGAAATAGCACAGCGTTATGTTAAATTCAGAAAAAACTTAGATTTGAGGTAAAATCTTCTATTAAACAATACTTTTTGAACACATTGTTACTCGAACATAATATTTACCGGGCCATCGAATCGTCAAATTGTGGCTAGGCCCTGCTTGAAGTCCGAAAGTTCGGTTTTCACTTTATGTCCATAATTCACATCGCCTTTGAGACTCGTGGTGTCGTTGACTCGAGAGCTTATTCTGTCACCTTTAAGACCTTGATATCCATTCTTTTCCAAGCAGAGTATTCTATAGCATTGTTACTTTACATTCTGAGTTCCACAAGGTCTAACTCGATCGCAAATGAATGAAAAATCCAAACTGAAAATTTTGAGGGTCGGCGGCATGGACGCCATATTTTCAAATTTGATCATTTAGTGAAGACGCATAGAGTGATGCCCCTCTAGCTACCCCCTAAAGCCAACAAAATATATGCGTAAATGACAGATTCTGATTGGCTTATTCATCTCCACACTACAGAGGAATTTTAGGGACAAAACTCCACTTAGTAAGGGAGGGAGGGGGAAAGCGTTTTCGCGCGAGGCAATCGTGAGGTTCGGGCGGTTACAGGCGGCTTAGGTGTCAATGTGTTAATAAATAAATAAATATGCACTTAGAACAGTTTATTAAGCATTATGTTGTCCTTGTGAACCAAACCAATTGGGTGATTGCCTTTCGCTGGATTATGCTAAACAGTCCTGGAAGGACAAGCATTGGTAGCTATAATGTAAAATCACTTTACAGTGTGCATTTCTGCACCCACTTTTTGTCTTTCTCAAGGTTTCCACAGCAGACAGCATAATCACAAAGTTTGCATTTCATTGTACATGTCTTGAAAGTATGACCATGATCTTGGCAGTTGGTGTATTTGTTTGATTTCTTGACTCTTTCACAACCAGCATCTTCCAGGAATTGAACTCTGTTTCTTCAAAAGCAGCTGCAGCAATTCCTCTGTGGTTGAAGACTGAAAGTAGTCTTAGGAGGTGATGTCATTATATTTCTCCATACCTTGCTGGTTGAAATGTGCTTCATTGAGGTACCGTTTCAAAAATTCTGGATTGTGATGGTAGAGAACATCCATGTAGGGTGTGAAATCTTTTGCTTGATACGGAGAGAGGAATTGTTGAGACCATGATTTTATTTTTGCAGTAAGGGCTGCAATTGGCTCATCTGTAGGGAAGTCAAGGTTCAAATCCCCAGTAATTTCTTTAAAATCATTCCATAGTTTTTCTAATCTCTTGTGATCTTCAAAATTTGGAAGAAGTGCATAACAATTAATATTTTGGATGACGCAGAGCTTTTCTTGTCCAGTGAGATCCCTGTATTCAAGCTTTTTTTGTGTTTTGGTTCCACTCTCCATTCAAATGAAATTTCTGTCTGCCTAAGAAAATATTCATAACCAGTCCTGTGTTTACATTTTTCCCTGTTGAAGCCACTAGGAAATGTTTTCACCTTATCAATAGCATCCTGCATTTTCAGTTCCCTGATAAGGAGCTCAATTAAATTGTCAGAAATCCCTAGGAATAAATGTAGGGTGTCAATGATTATATGATAATTGGAATAAAATCAAAGAGTGGGCATGATTTACGGTTATATTTCTTTGCTCTTGAATGGTTAGCAATTTCCTCACATGTCCTTGCCCCATAGTAGTACTTATCATTGAGAGACCAGGTTTTTGTTACATTATACCTTTCTTCCCTTGGGCATTTGCAAGTGTAATCTTGGTTTGCAGCACCAAAGCCACAAATGCAAGCAAGGAATTTCCAGTCACCCCCTCGGAAGTACTCAGTCTTGTACTCAACATTGTCAACCTCAATTTCATTTAACGGAGCCATTTCAGTTTTAATATCTGAAAGACTTTCTTTCAGATTGTCATAGGTCTCTTTTGTTTTGATAATTGCCAGCACATAGTTCCCCTTTTCACTCATGGCATTTTCCTTTTCATTTAAGATGGTATAAGTGAAGTTCACTACCTTGAGTCTCTTTCCTCTGTTGGTGCCATCTCCACCTCATTTTAACCCTGACTGTTTCTTGTTCACCCACATCTCCTTTAATTTTAAGCCTTTGAATTTGTTCCTTCAGGCTATCCCTTGGGGAAATTTAGACTCCTGCTTCACCTGG